GTTTCATGCAAATCTACTTTAGCATAAAAATACAAATCTGGAGCATGAAATTTCACCCAGTACATCCCTTTTTATCTTATATCCCACTTTAATGGCACACATCACAATGTTTTTAATTCCATGAGTGTTTACCAGTAAATGCTTACATTTAAAACATTTGAAAGGAGCTTCTACATGCAGATTCGAACTGAAGATGATTTCATATCAAGCACTTACCAGCAGTCTTAAGGGTAACTTTGCTGGGTTTACTGGCTCCCAGTACGATAATACGTTCAATCCAGGAATCGGTAGTAAACTTGGCATCAGGAGCAAGGTTACTGTGGATCAGGCAGGCACAGAGTTAAATACATAGCAATAACAGATTTAAGATTAAAGAAATTGTCCATGAATAGATTGGCACAACATGTGGAAACGTTTCTTCAGTTTCACTGTGTTTATATTTTATAATGTTACATTTCTGAGACTATTAAAAGTGTAACTATAGTGACATCATGGTTTTTTTTATATTTTATTCAGAGAATTTTGGTAACATATCCGTCACTCACACAGAAGAGAGGACTTTGTTGGCAAAGGTAAGCTTCCTGTAGATGAACTCCTTCTTTTCATAGTTGAAGGTATGGCCATCGTCTATGTAGAGCTCACCATCTGCAGTTCTCTATCAAAATAAATAATGCATTAAATAAATGGTTAGAACCTGTCATTAACATCTCAACATTACTTAGCACTGTGGCAACAGAGGATGTGCAGTTCAGTTACCTGGAGATTAAGAGCCACATAGAGAGTGTAGGGGTCATGCTCCATGCAGGTGGAGGACCTGCGGACTCTAAGCTTCCTGGGAATTATGGAACCGCCACGCTGGAAAACCGGGATCTAACAACAAAACACCAAGGCTACTAATGAGAAATGTGATAAAGAATACATTGAGCTTAAAAAAAAAAAGAAAAAAAAGTTAAGCTGAGAGTTTGACACTTACAGAGCTCATGGTGACGGGAATGTAAAGGTTTTGGGCTCCGTTGTGTTTCTGGAAAGTGTGGACATCGAACCAGACCTGATAACACACGTTCACACACATTAAGATACGCCCGTCTGAAAAGATCAAAGATACGTGTGTCAAAATAAAAGCCTCCGTTTCTTCCTCTTACCTCATCTTTGCCGGGCAGGTAGGCAGTGACTCCTCTGGCTCCCTCCTCAACAACTGGGTGCACCAGCAAGTCTCGTCCTGAGGCAGAATTAAAATGACGTCAGGGGAAGTGGCAACCATTTCAAAACATGCCTGCCTGACTGGAACAACTGGATTCAGGGTTTTATCCTCATTTGTCATATTGACAAAGTGAAGCACCACCGCACAGACAGGCACAGCTGCACAGATTTTCTAATTCAAGTGTCTGAACATTAGAAGTCAATTTAAACCGAGATAACAGGTATTTTTGGCCACCTGATGGCAGCAGAAGCAAGTTGTAGATAACTCTATAACATAAATAATAGTGTACCCCCACTACACAACCTGTACTTCCAAAACATGATTTATAGAGAAGGGAAAACAGTGACCTAAAGCAG